CCCTGTGAATGGCTGCCCTTTACCATTTGTTAGGGCCCTGTTTTTAGAGCCAATGAAACAGTGAGGGAAGAAGCACAATGTGTGAGACTGAGCAGAACACTTACTACAGTCTCATAATCCTGCATTCCCCATCTCCTGTCGGGGCCTGACCAAGATTTTAGCATCCATGGAATTGCTGCTGACTGCAAGAAAACAAGGTTGAGCTGAAATTTCCTAAACTTAAATTTCAAGTATTTAAATACAATGAATTCTTGCATCAAGAAGTAGGACTTGTAGGACAATAAAGTCTTGGGACAGTACATGCGATTGCAGTCAGGGACTGCAATATGTCAGATAGAGTACTTCTACAATGCCTACCATGCTGGCAGGGATGCATGTCAATAGATCTCTTCCATGTTTTGAGCTTATTTAGGAATAGAGATCTGTGCAACTGCTGTCAACCATTGGATCTCATTGCTTTTTAGAGGGGGTGGGGATAGACAGGGCTGGGGACAGGGATGGTCGTGAAGTACAAAGTGGAAAGTTCTTTATATATGGAGGGCAAGAACTGAGACCATTGAGGAGGTAGGCTGAGAACGTAACATCCGAAGTTAGTATGAGATCCCCTAGGATGATGTTAATGCCACTCCCTTTGGTGCAGGAGTTCCTGACCCCTGAGCAGCGGCAATTTGCTGTCCGGGTTGTTCCTACCTTGCTGGAGGTCTCGGGATTCTCCTATTTCTATGGTGCCTTCATGGTGGGGCCTCAGTTCTCCATGACAGACTATCAGAAACTGGCAAGGGGTGAGATGACTGACGTTCCAGGCCAGAGACCCAATAGGTAATAAAAACCCACTTAGCTCCTCACCTTCCTAAGATCCCAGAATGCTGCATCCCTCCACATGTTCCCTGCAGCAGAGTGCCTTCCCTGGACACAAAAGTTCTGTGATCAAAAGTGATTTCTAAAACAAGGCAGTTTTTCAAAAGTTGCTCGTAACAATCTGGTTAATGTCCTTACACTGTTCTAGGACATGACCATCAAACAACTATTTGACATCTTTAGTACAGACTCAGTCCCAACCTGCTAATGTTGGCATCCCAGCTTCCAAATGAAGTCATCCGCTGCAGTGGAACATGGTGACTCCCTTATTGCTATCTCCCCTAACTCTTCTCCACTTCTGTTCTTCAAATTATGAGCATGATGGTCACTTTCCATGGCTTTTTTTTTTTGACCTTCCTATTTTTCTTTCTCAGTTTTGTGCCAGCTCTGAAGCGCCTGAGTTTGGGTCTCTTGTTTCTAGTAATATATACCTTGTCAAGCCAGTACATCTCTGACGAATACCTCACCTCAGATGATTATATGGTATGTATTCATTTGGCAGTACTGGGGTGCAGAAGAATTCCACTTCTCTGGAATCTGTAGATTCAGTGGGCACTGAATCTACGGGGTGGGGGGGCAGGTGTTCTTAGTTTTGCTTCAAGAATAAGTTATCAACTAGCGATAACCCTTTCCACAACTGATTTGGCTTTACTGCTTGTCCTCTGGATTCCATTTGATGCAGAACAGGAATGTGTTAAGCTGAACTGAAACCAAATCTTTGCTGTTACTATTGTTTTTGAAACCTAATTTATGTATTTTGTGACCTTTTAATGTCCTTCAACTTAACCACTACATGCAAAGAACTTCACTCGAGTAATTTGCAAGGCTTACCAGAGGCTCTGAGGTTCTTAGAAAACTAAACAAGTCATTCCTACCTGCAGATTATCAGTGTTTGTGTCAGTCTGAATAAATGAAGGTATAAATTCTGCAGTGATTATGGTAACCCCAGAATTTTCCCAAAGTACCTATTTCAGTACAGCCATGTATTACCAAAGGAAAGAGAATGATGTGTGAACTTCCATAAGCCAATAGCCTGGCAGCCCAGGTCATAGAGCAGTCTCAACACATACACCAAACCAGAAGGAAGAGAGTCAAGAGATCCCATCTACTCTGTCTCATTATTGCCATTCAACTCCATTTTTCATTTTGATTCTGTTTCACTCTCACCCCTGCAGGAGAAGCCTTTCTGGTTCCGATGTGCTTACATGTTGATCTGGGGCAAAATTATACTCTACAAATACGTAACTTGCTGGCTTGTGACGGTGAGTCTAGATGTTGTTCCAGAGACAAAAGAACAAAGGTCACACTTTTGCAGCTCCTTAGTATGCTCTTAGACTTAGCCCTAAATGGAAATAATCCAAGTATCTGGAGATCAGTGCAGGTCAGTTTAACTTGCTTTAAGTTAGCAAAGGCTATTGAACTAAAAAGCAGGCAGTTTTTCCAGCATTTGTTCCACCTGCAGTGGTGCTCTCCACTCACCACAGTGAGAGTCGGAGCCTACCCAGCTCTGCCTTTCAAAACAAACAAAAAAGGAGGGGAACAATGTTTTCCTTTCTTCTGAATCTTTTTCCATAGGAAGGTGTCTGCATCCTTGTTGGTCTGGGGTACAATGGGAAGGACCAGAACGGAAAGCCTTTGTGGAATGCCTGTGCCAACATGAAGGTCTGGCTGTATGAGACAACACCCTTTTTCACAGGGACCATTGCTTCTTTCAACATCAACACCAATACTTGGGTGGCCCGGTGAGCAGAACATTCCCAGACTGTTTTGGTAACATTTGTGTCAACAGAACCAGGATCCTAGGCTGAGAGGGAGCATTAGGGGAAGCATCTGCCAGTTTTCCTTTCTTAAACTCTTTCTTCCATGTTTTGCTGCTTCCATGTTTGTGCCGTTTGGAACAGGTTACTGGGTTAGGTATTTTCATTCAATCTAAAAGGGCAGTTCAATAATACAGGCAAGGAGTTGATTGCAGCAGGAGGGCAGATTGACTGCAGCGAGCCCTTGGGCCTGCCTGGTCAAACTGGCACAAAGCTGCTCTACCAGCTGGATCCCGCATCCTGCCTTGTGATGCTCCCTTAGGCAATGACTCGACAGTTTTTTTTCAGCACTTGCTGGGACACACAACTGAAGTGTAAAATCTCATTGCTGGGAGCGTTGCAGGATGAACCACTTCTCCCCAGGAGCTGGGATTTCTTTAAGGCAAGGGCTGCTATACATTTTGCCCTGATAAGGGGGAGTTGTCTTGCTCTTTCTGTCACCACAGGGTGTGCAAAGGTGCACAGGCCCCTGGGCCCTGCATCCCTGACATGGGGACGGGAAGACAGGGAATAAACTAGAAGCCCTTTGTTTCTTTTCTGCTCCAGCTACATCTTCAAGCGTCTGAAGTTCCTGGGTAACAAACTGCTGTCACAGGCACTGACCCTGTTCTTCCTGGCCATTTGGCATGGGCTGCACTCTGGCTACCTGGTGTGCTTCCAGATGGAGCTGCTGATAGTCATCATTGAAAGACAGGTGGGCTTTGTCTGACTGACCAGGATGGGGTGGCCTGCATGAGCCTTTCCCTGGGAGCTGGGAACTTCCACACCAAAGGTTTCACTTGGAGTAAATACGAAAAATAGCTGTTCACTTTGGGATGGTTTTCAAGCATGAGACAGTTCTGTTCTCTACAGAGAGTTCAGTAGGTGGCTTCTGCATCGGCAAGCCATACATTGATTGCAGAAGCTGACAGGAAGAAAAGGGTAGAACTTGACATACGAGTAGAGGGCAACTGAAGTGCCTGGCAGCTGGAAAGGCTGGAGGACATGAGCTGAATGCCTCTGCTGAATGTCCCAGTACTGAGAGTTTAAACTGTTGTATGTTTAACATACAGTTTAAATTGTATGTATGTTATGACATACATAGCTACTTTTTTAGACTAACTACTCGCTGAAATCCATTTGACACAGCTGGATAGATAACTTTGGCTCCAGAGCATGCATATATAGCCACAGGACATCCAACTGACAAGAATTTTGTTGCTTTTCTTTAAATTAGATCATAAAGCTTATTCGGGACAGTCCTACCCTCAGCACTTTGACCTCCATCACCGCCTTGCGGCCCATCTTCTACGTGCTGCAGCAAGCTAACCACTGGCTGTTTATGGGTTACTCTCTGGTGCCATTTTGCCTTTTCACCTGGGACAAATGGATGAAGGTATTTAGTAGCCACAGACAACACGTGCAACCAACCCTTTGCCCTCCAACCTGTCTCAGATGTTCTTGGCTCGAAGCTTCTTGCTGATCCTCAACCCTGCCTTTCTCTTTCCAGGTGTACAGGTCTATTTATTTCTTCGGCCACGTGTCGCTCTTCATCTTATTACTGGTGTTGCCTTACATTCGCAGAGTAGTGGTGCCACGAAAAGAAAAGCTAAAAAAAGCAGAATAACAGCCAAAAGGTAAGGCTGTCCTAGGCAGAGAGGTGCCCACGCTTGGACTGGCACATGTAGTAGGGCAGCAATGTTACAGGCCAAAGTGAAAGGCAAAGCTGAAAACCAAGCAACCCAAATCCAGCACTTTTCTCTTTTACAGATTGTACCACCTGTGCATTTGTAGGAGTTACTGCACACTCCGGAAACAAAGCATCACCTGCCAAGTTTGCTGTGTTGAAGTACGACTTTTTTTCAACACGAGGAGGGGGAAAGAGAAAGCACAGGGTCAGAGACCCAAAAGGAGGGGAACGGAGTCAGTCTCCTTCCGCATCCTCCACCTTCTGTATGTTGCCTTATCTCTCTGCCGCCCTCCGATGGACACTCGCGTCTCTCTGCTGATGCCCGATGATTGTAAAACACTCAAGGCAGGCACTGCATTGGATTGGAGCCACCTTCTGACTTTTCTACGTTTGTCATCCAAGATAAAAATTGCTCCTGGTCTTTTTCATATGGGCTTCAGCTCCTTTCCTGTTGGGTGCCTCGGTGGGGAAATGTGAACTGTCACACACCACCGACTATGGGGATTCTGCAGGACTGAGCAACGTCAGCTGCAGGGCAAGCAGGGCGCTGCTGAGAATTTCAGTTCCATGACAGATCTGGGCCGAGTCCCTGCTATAAAGGGATCGAGCCTACCCATGTATGAAACATGAGAAAGTAAAATACATGAGCACTCTTATCAAAACCGGCCTTTAATAGGAAGAAAAAAGGTGAGTGGGACAGTCTCTTTTCAGTCTCATTGCTCCAGGAGCTACAAGGAGAAATTGATGCCTTTTCCCTTCCAGGAGTCCAAAGTTGCACCAGGTCCACCCCTAAGTGAACAAGCCTTTTTTCCAGAGTATGGAGTCACTGCTCGGAAGTCCACCATGGCAGTAGCAGAAACTCATACCACTCCCCAGACTTCCTCAAAGGCAGTGGTAATTTTAGCACACGTCAGGGCAGCAGAGAGGGGGTAGTTGCTGATGGAAACCATCTTTTCTGTATAGTCAACATTAACCTGGGGAAGAGAGAGAAAGAAAAAAAGCCCTAAAGCATCTGGCTGCAAGTTTTCACTCAGTCACATCTATCTCCACTGGCTGGGGAGGCAAGGTATTCCTGCAGCAGGACAGCTGCCAGCCCTCACCAGTGCCCTGGGAGGGAGAGGTCCCAAGTGTTGCAGAATTGGGTTGGGGAGAGGGGTGGACAAGGGAGACAAAGCCAAAACAAGAAGAAAAACAACCCAGGCTCAGAACAAGAGTGAAAACTATGCTGCTAAAGAGTTTTAGAGCTCTAGATAAGGGATACATGCACTTACCGAACCATGGGCAAAAGCTCCCACAACAATGGCAACTGGCTCTGCTGTAGGAACCAGTTCACGCAGATCTGACACCTTTGGGACTGCAAAAGAGGTACCTAACTTCAAACAGCCCACAGGGAGATGGTCACTGACTGGGTTTTTAATCACCTGCAGAAAGCAGAGGGTTATGAGCAGTGCAGAGGACCTGCCGCATGGCTAACTCCACTGCTTGTACAAAGCAAACCCAACCCGCCACACTCCTCCAGCACTGGCTGCAAAGGAGGAACATTATTACCCATGAACAGTCAAAGCATGTTTACCTTCAACAGTTTCTGAGGCCCATCGGCTGCTCGAACACTGAGCTTGTGCAGCAACTGAACTGGCAAAAGAAGAAAGTTACTTAAGCTGCCTGTTCTTTTGCTGGAGGAATCCTATTCCCTGCCTAGTGATGCTGAAGCAGACGAAAAGTCCATCTTTATAGTTCCCCTTAAAGCATCATCTAAAGCAGTCCAAAGGAAAATCAATCAGTTATTTTGCTGCTAGCTCAGTCTCCTGCAGGCACTCCCCACTGTGCTAAGGAACACACAGTTGGACACAGAACTCACAATACTTTGGCTTCTTTGCTCTTTTTTCACTTTCACATGTTCAAGGTTGGTGCAACTGTGTGACTCTTCCCAACGTTCTCCCACTCCTAAGCACCTTCCCGCATTACTCGGTGGCTGGTGCAAAGTTTGCATCACTCACCCATAAGACCACAGAACCGATCAAAAGTTCTCGGGATTCTGGTTTGGGGATTCACTTCAATTAGAACATTCTTCTGGGTATGGATGTAAACCTGCAGGAGCCCAGCCCGATTCAGCGGGCTGTCCATGAGCATCAGGAGGCTCTGAAGGACAAAAACACACAGTAGTGAAAACAGAAAAGGCAAAAGGGAAGGGACTCTTGGAAAAGTTTAGAGTTGGGCTCCATGAGTGCAGGAAGGACCTACACTGAGGCAGAACGTTCATTTCACTGTGCGAGTTCTACTATAAGGCTGACAGCAAGCAAGCCCATACCCAAACACTAAACGCA